CCGATTTCAATCGTTGAAATTTGTTTTTGCAAAATATATTTATATAAAGATATACATATATATTATGGTTTCAAAATGTTTGCAAAAGGTTTTAATACCCGAGATCCATGTGAGTAGAGAGTGCAACACTGTTTCTTGCAGTCGAGGGAGAGGTCCTCTCTTGTCGGGCAATGTTTGATCATTATGGGCTGAGAAGTTAAGTGTAAAACCATTGAGGGTAATACCTGATGGGCTAATCTTGTATCTGCCCACAGTCCTTGGGTTTTCATAAGGTGGCTTGGCCTAGGGACCACTTAGTGTAAGTGTTGGGCCCGTTAAGAGCCCATGGTGATGGGCTCAGGGGTTCACTACCCATAACAGTGAATTCGGCTAGGCCTTGTAACAGAGGATAGGTTGAACTCATGTGGCTGATTTGTAGATCAATGTTTGGGTCCCACGCCATACAAAGAAGCCTAACTGGGCAGCAATTTGGAGGGTAACTGAGCACATGGACTTATTGGGCCTAAAGCCCATTTCGAACTGGTCTAATATGATTAGTTAAACAAGGGCGGATCTGGGATTTGGATCAGTAGATAGGATAGGGAGTTATCCCTATCCACTCAGAGAGTCTAGATTCAAATAGAGATTTGGATCTGGAAAGCTCCTAATGAGATTTGGAGGGCTGATCTAATATGCAGATAAGATAAGGGCTTATCCTTATCTCTTAAAGAGAATTCCTGATCCAAATACAAATTTGGATTAGGAAACTCCTAATGAGATTAGGAGCTCTCTTTAAGGCTATAAAAAGGAGGGGTGAATCATTCTACACAACATCTCAAAAACCCCAGATATCAGATCTTAGATCACACAGAGAGAAGAAAACAACAGTGTGATTGTGCCATCTTCTCCTTGCGTTCTCCTCCAGTTGCCGCCAATTGCCAGTTCGATCTCTATTCTTGTAGGAGCGATCAAGAGAAGTTCTTGATATCAGTCTTTGGAGAAAGGCTGATGTGAAGTCGTGCTCACAGCCTCTATCGAATTCTTGCTGAAGGGTTCGGTTCTTTGGAAGAACGCTGCTGATTCTGCTCCACCCTACACTGTGTCATCTCTAGTGGGAGCAGTTTTTGGAGATTTCTTTGGGCGTGAACACCTTCATTGCGAGTTACTGCTACTCTATATCAGGTATATTCCTCTCCTACCTTTTGGTTTCAGATCTGGTTCGGTTTAGGTTCAAGATTGATTCTTGAAAATGTAGATTTTCTAAAACAGGGAATGTGATTCCTAGATGGGAGAAAGAGAAATTTTTGAAATTTCACCCAACCTTCCTACAGGGTTCGGCCATCCATATGATGGATCTCTCATCCCTTCATCTATATGTTTAGCTCTATCATGGAGAATAGGATTGGCTGCAATGTTAATGGCAGCCTTATTGTCATAGTAGAGTGACATAGGATCACTGAGAGGAAAGCCCAATTCACCCAAGAGATTCTTTTTTTTTTGATAAATGAGAGTAATTTTATTGAAATAAAATCAGAAATACAAGTAGCCTAAGAAGAGGCATGAGATGTTACCTCCCCCAAGGATTGAATCATAAAAACTAAAACATGCCCAAACCTGAGATACAAATTACAAAGTCGCCCAAAACAGATCCCCCCTTGACACCCCTTGCTTGGCTAGAGAATCAGCCATTACGTTTGCTGATCTGCTAACCCACTGGAACCTAACAGTCATATTTCTTGTCATCCATTTAACTTTCTTTAACAGATCCCTATAGCCCCAACAAACTGTGTCTGGGCTATTCAGCCAGCCCACTACTACCTTGGAATCTCCTTCTACTAACAAATTGTTCACTCCTAATTGACTAGCCATCTGTATGCCTTGTACTGCTGCTAGTAGCTCTGCCCTTACAGAATCGCCTTGAGAAGAGAGACAACGTATTGCTGTCTTTATCTCTCAAAATACCTCCAATTCCGGATGGCCCTAGGTTACCTTGGCAGCTGCCATCAAAGTTCAATTTTACCACTCCATCCGGTGGGGGTTACCATTCAACTTGTAATTTGTTCTTAAGTGGAGACTGTAGAAGCCACTGCTTCCCAATTTCTCCTTAAGTCATCAAAGGAGAAATCTGCCAACAATTGTGAAGATTTCAGCCATGAAATTGTCTTTGTCAATATACATTCCTTGACTTTATCTAAACTTCTTTCCTTTTCTTGAAATATTCTAGCATTTCTCTCCTCCCATAAAATCCATAAGGTGGCGGTTCTGATACATTTCCACATTATCTTCCCCCTTTTTGTCAATCTCCCAAGAGCATTTGGAGTGAACAACAGCTTTACTTCAGAGGGCAAGTTCCACCTGCACCCAAATAAAGAAACAACCCAATTCCAAATATTGGCAGCAAAGGAACACGATATCAGCAAATGGTTACAGTCCTCACCCTTCACTTTTCACATAAAGCTCCAATTTGGGGACAAACACAAAGAAGGTTTCTTCTTTTGCAAGTTTTCCACAGTATTGATCTTACCATAATAGGGTTCCCAACAGAACACTGCTACTTTGGGGGGTATTGGCCTTGACCAAGCCTCTTTAACAGGGAAGATTTGAGAGGAAGGGTTAGAGCAAAGGGCTTTAAAGAAAGATGCGCAAGTGAAAGAGCCAACCGGGTTTAGAGCCCAGACTCTTTTGTTCGGGTTAATGGGGTCCAGGAACACCGAATCTAGAAGCAACAACAACTCTGAGACAAAGAAATTCTTCATCCCTTAACCCTCTCTGAAACCTAAAATTCCATTTTAAAGTCGGGGCAAACCGGGGGGGAAGGAACCAAGAAATGGGTTTCTTTTTAAAGAGGGATATGGAATAGAGAGAAGGGAAACGGTCTTTTAGGGGTTGAGTGCTCACCTAAGTATCTTCCCAAAAAAGAATAAAGTTTCCAGAACAAGCATCATACCTTACAAACTTGAGGAAATTAGGGAGAATGCCAGAGATAGCCTTCCAGGGAGTTGTGAGCAAAGTCCTTCGGGATACCCCCGCATCCCAACCTGATTCAGAACAGCCATGGATACTTTTCACTACTTCATGCCACAACCTCTCCCTCTCCAGGGGCCACCTCCAAAGCCACTTACCTAAAAGAGCCTCATTCCTACTCACCACATTCCCTAAGCCTAGTCCTCCTTTTTTGCTCCTACTCACCACCTCCCACTTGACCAAGTGGTCTTTTTTCTCTACACCAGGTTCCCATAGGAAGTCCCTCATCAGTTTTTCCAACCTCTTTGCCTCCCTTTTAGGAATTCTAAAGACTGACAGGAAGTATAAAGGCAAATTGGCTAAAGTTGCTTTAATCAAAGTAACTCTACCACCCACGGAAATGTAGTTCTTCTTCCAAGCTGCCAATCTGTTTTCAAAATTTTCAACCACCGGATTCCAAAACCTACTTTCCTTTGGAGGAGAAGGATCCATCAGCTAACCTCACTTTATCTTTGCCAGAAAGAAGGGTGTAAGATTGGAAATAGGTTAACTTACCAGTCATGTGATTGGAAGCACCAGAATCAATAATCCATGGAGATTCAGAGGTATCAGTAAACACATGGAATGCAGAAGCTAAGTTACCTGAGGAAGAAGCAAAAGAGGTTGAAGGAGTGGGTCCAGAATCTGTTTGTGTGAGGGCCCTACCATATTGCTCCAATGGTCACTGAAGGTAGTGATAAATATTTTCCTTAAGATCAGACCTAGGGGGGCTATCCTGAGAGTTCACAGTAGTTCCTCCACTTTGCAACTCATGAGAGGCCAAGTTAGCCAAGGTGAACCTTTTCTGATTTGGTTTCTTGTTCTGTTCTTGTGCTGATTTCGTATTCAGATCTTGTGCCCACTTCGGTTTTCCATGCAGTTCCCAACATGTTTCTTGTGTGTGTCGGGATTTCTGACAACGAGAGCACCACAATTTATCCTTATCATCAACCTTTTCTGACCATCTCCCTTTCTTGCTGAATTGATATTACCTCTTGCGGCTAAAGCAATGGTCTCCCCCTCGAGAGGATTCATTGCAGATTTTCTACTTTCCTCAGATTGAACCAGTGCATACACGTCTTGGACAGAAGGAAGATCCTTGCTGCCCAAAATTTGAACTCAAATGGGTTCATATATGGGATTAAACCCTAACAAAAAAGCAAACACCTGCTGCTCAGCTGCTGTGACACTTACTGTTTGTAGGCTTTGGCATCCTTTTCACTCTCCCAGTCAATATTCTGATAGTAATCTAACTCTTTCCAGATAGATGTGAGGGCAGAATAGTAGGTGGATAAGCTTCTTTCCMCTTGTTTACATGTTGCAGACTCGGCTTGCAATTGATAGATTCTAGCATAGTGCCTCTACTCGGAGTAATCCTTGCTTGTTCCCATATTTCCTTGGCTGTTTCAGCCCACATAAAGTTCTGCTTAACTGATGGTAGCATAGTAGTCAAAAGCCATGACATAATCATGCAGTTTTCCTGGTCCCACCATATTCAGCAGTACTAGTCCTAGGTTCCTCCACTTTTCCATTGATATACCCTTCCTTACCCCGGGCTGTGATGTACAGCCACATCTCCTTAGACCATGTCAAATAATTTCTGCCATCTAAGGGAGTAATGGTCATTGGAAATCTCAGAGTCAAGACTATTGTTCATTCCTCCTTGGTTGGAAGAAGTTCCAGAGGTTGCAGAATCTTTAGAATTCATGACTGACACATACTAAGACAACGACAGTTCCTTCACTTCAGTCTACACACACAAAAGGACTATACAGTCCTTACTCTAAGTGTTCTGACAGTTAGAACACAATTACAGTCCTTGCTGCAACACACTTTCACTGATCTAACAGACCTCTCCAAGGCTAATATAAGCCACAAACCTCAGTACTCTGCTGCTGTACCAGCGATCTGAACATTTTAACAGGTGTAACAGACTTCTCCAAGGCTAGTATAAGCCACAAACATCAGTACACTGCTGCTGTACCAGTCAACCAATCCAGGTCACTCATGGACTACAAATAATTCCACAAGTACACAGGTTTCTGGATCATCTGACCCACAAAGAAGGGGTTAAACTTCCCATATACCATTCGGTCAAGGCAGCCCTTAACCTGTTCTTGGTACCAGCACCAAGAACCAAAGAAAAAATAGATTTAAATTTTGTTCGTGTTCAGTTCAAGCAGATTCTGGTTTTTACAGTTCAATAATAATAAAGTAAAGAATAGAAAAGGGGCCGCCAACCTCTTAGGACTCAAACAGTCATCAACACTCTTCTGGAATCACTTCAGTTGAGTTTCAGCCCAGAACAGGAGAGGTTCAGCCAAGGAGTTCTTAGGTCCAGAACAAACTTGTTTTCTCCATTCTCAGTCCAGTGAACACAGAGGATGTCTTCGACCAATAAAAAAAATATTTACAGAGCCCCGACCTGCTCTGATACCATGATTTCAGCGAGAAGGGTGATCCCGATCAAGAGAAGAGAGGAGAAGGAGAAGAAGAAGGAAGAAGAAGAGAGGAGAGAAGGAAGAGGCGTGAAGATTGAGACCAAAAAAACATAAGCTGGCAGCGCCAGTGTTTGAATTTATATGTTAGGGCGACAAAATAAAAAATAAAAGATAAAAGCACAAAAGTGCCCCTGTAGCACATAACTAAGATTACATCAGTATTCTTATTGATGGAAGTATTTTTACATGGTTTAATGGCTAATCACAGAAGACTGGACACATTTTTTCTGATAGATTTGGAAATCTAATGTGGACTTGATTCAAGAATCCTTATTTAGTATTTAGCCATTTATTTGATGATAAGCCAATCTTTATCAAAAAAGAAAAGAAAAGATTCTACAACTCAACTCAACTCAGCCTTAAATCATGTTTGCTATTTCATTGATATGATTGAATAGTGGAAGAACTGAAGTGGTGGGGAAGTCAGGTTTTATCTTAGTTCAGAAATTGTAACTTCTGTTCAGTGGTTAAACTATTTGTCTTTTCTTTATTGTACAAGGACATTGTTATAATTTTATAACTATTTATTATTATTAATTTAAATCAATAGGTGGTCACTTCTAATATCCAGATGCCTGTACTGGGGTGCTGTATCATGTCAGATACTTCTGTTTTTTTTTTTTTTTTTTTTATATATATATAAGTAATTTCAATTTTATTAGAGAAATCAATATAGTTATGTACAGGAATAAAATCATCTCCACGAGTGGTGTGAGATTCACTTCCTGTATTAGAAAAAACACATAATAATTACAACTCTGCCCAAAATAATTGATCCCTATTGACACCTTGTTTAGCTAGAAAATCAGCCACCCCATTAGCTGACCTTCTCTCCCAACGTACATTTACTGTCATATCACTAGTGAACCATTTATACTTATTGATTTCATTCCTATATTCCCAAATAATTACAATGTACACTCACTGTCATATTACTAGTGAAGTATCATGTCAGATACCTCATAGTGTAACTTCTGTATCTGACAACAGATCCAGTTGTGTCCTTGCCATACCTGGGTAACATTGGTGGCAGAGCTATTTTTCTTTGCTCTCACCACATTCCTCTCTTCTGTTTCCTTTTTTTCTTTGTTGCAATAACACATATAGGGCTGTAATTTGGTCGGATTCGGATCAGATCCAGATACATCCTAATCCAATCTGATTATCAAAACGTTAGATCCAAATATGATCTGAGGTCCAATTGTTGGACTTGGATTGGATTCATATTTAATTCAACTCCAGCTTATTGCACTTAAATTGAAAAAAAAAATTAAGTACTTTTTGACTTATACATATATAATAAATATATATAAATACAAAGTATTAATTTTATTAGTTAAAACTTTATATAACTGTATATAATATATAAATATGCATAATTATTTTACATATATGTACAAAATAATATAATTGAACTCAGATTTTAATTGAATTGGATGGGGTTAAATCCACACCTGATCCGATTATTAATCAGTTGCAAGTTCTAACATTCAAATCCGGGAAAATCAGATTGGATTTTGGTCTTTCAGTGTCCATTTACAGCTCTAAACGTATCTATCTAATGCTTGTTGGTATTAGAACTTTAGGGGGGAGATCATTTTATTTTCTGTTGTAGACCATCCATGACCTTAAATGTGCACCAGCAGCCATTGTTTACCACCAGTTGTACATTCTTAGTGATTACAACTGATAACATAAGCTTCTCCTGAAGCAGATATGTAGGATCTGATTGATATTTGATTAATTAATTAATCCACACGAATTTTAATCATAAAGGTGGGTTCTTTTCATACAACTAAAATATTGGTCCTTTTTGATCTTTTTTTATGCTAATTGCAAATGCATTCAGATTCCAGGTCCTGTTTGATCTCACTATGATGCAATATGAGTAGAAATTCACAGCCCAAGTTTCAGTATACTTGATTTAATTCAACTGCCTTCAAATACATTCTAACTTCCTTCAGCTTGATTCAGGCATATCTCGGTGCAATTCTTGTTTACCTTTATTCACATGACTTAAAGCAAGCAGAGAAGTGCTATAACGACTGTTGCCAGTGAGTACTATCTTTTCCAAAGCACCCTATAATTCTACAAGTTTCTTTATCTGGATAAATGCCTTTTGTTCCTTCTTTTACGTTTCTACATTTTAACAAATTCTTTATTGAATATATATTAAATTATTTCTTGGCTGGCAAAAGAAATTTGATTATAGATCAATTATTATTAGTAAATGGTGATTACTGTCCAACTTTCTTTGCTTTCCACAATGAATAATTTTTTTATGACCCATTGGAATTTATCTAGACTATCATTGTTGGGGCAAGTCTATGATCATTTGTGTTTTAGTTAATTTATTTCAGTGTTATAACCATTTTTCCTTGCCAGTGCAATTTCATGTTCTTGTTCTTGTTTTTTTTTTCTCTTGGATTTTTTTTCTATTACATAATCAGGATATTTAGTGACTGGTTATGTAAAACCCATTTCTTACAACATTGCTAACACAATATCAGCAAAAATGATCCATGTGGATGTGGTAATATCTACTCTCAATATTTTAATAAGAAAGCAATTTTATTAATATATAGATGTACGATGCACACAAAAGCTTTTTATTTCAGACTACTTGATGGTAGACCCAACTGGTCAACTATAGGTGTCAACTTCTTTTACATATTTTGTATTTTTTGGGGCATCAAGGTATTTTGGTAATTTTGCATATTGCTTGTAGGTTCAGGCACAAAAGCTTTTTATTTCAGACTACTTGATGGTAAACCCAACTGGTCAACTATAGGTGTCAACTTCTTTTACATATTTTGTATTTTTTGGGGCATCAAGGTATTTTGGTCATTTTGCATATTGCTTGTAGGTTCAGGCCTTAGGAATCACTTAATTGAGTTATATTAGAAGAATATATTACATATGTTACCTTTTCGTCTAGGGTTGTTTGTTACTGGTTATTAAAGAGCTTAGCCCTTATCCATGTGAGTCTAGGGTTGGATATTTCATTACCCAATTCCAAGGTTCAAAATATTGACACGATATGCCCAGTACAAGAAAGAGATGCATTTTCCTCCAAAAATTACAAAAAAAAAAATTATTTTATATGTTTTAACATTTTTTATTAACTACTTATCAAACCCATTAATCCAACAACAATTTATGTCAAAAATGATATTTTTTAATTATATTGGTATTTAGTGATTACTAAAGGAAAATTCTGAATTACAATATATGTATCTTAGAAATTCTAATAGACCTTATGTATTTTTAAACTAAAACTTTATATTTTGTAATTTATTAAATTAATAATATAATCTACATTAAAAGTATTAAATAAGTAAAAAATTACCCGGTATTGTTGATTGCAATGTATCTCTTCAAGTCTTCATATAAACTATTAAAGTGCCATTCCTTATCTTTTTTTTAGTCAGCGCCATTCCTTATCTTTTTATACCTTATTAATAGTTATTTCAACCTTACATTTAGTGTTATTGATGTGTTTGTGGGATTTTCAAGAGTTTCCCTAATGTATCCAAGCATATCCATATCTTTCAATTGTGTCAATGTGTATCCAAAGCGTATTATGATACATATCCATATTGAAACTTGCTGATATGATAAGCAATACCGATATTTTAAACCTTGCCCAATTCAAGTATTATTCATAAATTTGAGCCAAACAAATTTCTAGACATTTCTCTAAATTTTGAATGCACCATTAACCAGTCCATAATCAATTAACCAATATCAGCAACAATTCTTCTATTAGCTTTGCTTTTGTCTTCAAATAGTCCTGTTTCTTTCTTTCCAAATGCTAGAACTGTAAGAGCATGGACTTACAGAAGTCCCTGCCACAGAATAAGGAATGTGAAGTTCATATGCCTGCAATAAGGACACAAAATCCAGTTATGCAAAATTCAGTAGTTCCCCATACTTAGGCATTTATCAAGAGTCAGAATAAAGAAGATAAGCCAGGAAACAAAAGTATTGGTACATCTAACAGAGCTCTAATAGTATTCAGACTAGAAAGAAGAAAGAGAAGAGGAGAAGAAGAGAAAGAGAAATTAGGGTTAAGAGAAACAGTTGACCCTCTCTTGGGAGAGGAGATTAGAATCTGTCTCTCTAAGATAGTTGGTCCAGTATATATATTAATGAAAAAATGTGCAAGTACAATAGTGTCTGTTTATAATAATTTTAGGATTGGAACATCCTTATCCTCTGCAAATGATGAGACCACCCTGTCGCCCAAGTACTTGACATAAAACAGCTCTCTCAAAACTCCTCATGCTCATGTCTAAGCATGTCACAAATGCCAAGTTCACAGTTCACAAATCCATATGCATGCTAAGGTGCTCCAACCCATGGTCAGCCCATGGCCCCTTCATACTTGGAGTATGGACCTTATAGGCAAGATAACCCCACCATCTATAGGGTGTTGTTGGATACTAGTGGCTACAGATTATTTTGCAAAATGGGTGAAGTAGTCCCACTCAAGCATGTCACAACTACAAATGTGGAAAATTTTATTAGATGGCACATCATCCATAGATTTGGTGTGCCAATGAGAATTTTAACAAATAATGCCGGGGTGCTCACAGTTCAGTTAACCGAACCATGGGCAATTTTTTGAAACCATTGGTCCTACTAGTTTTTGCATTTCTTTGAATTGGTACCATAGGTTAACTAATTGATCGGTTTCGGTTTTTGACTGGTTCGGTTAACATATGTTATAAATAAATATATAATATATTTATTGTATATTATATATTATAAATAGATTAGTTATAAATATAATATACATGTTGATGTGGTGGGAAGACGACGGAGGATGGTCAAAGTCTTCGAAGGTCCAGAGAGGACGACAGGAAAGAGAGAACGTGGGGAGGAATACTGGTTGTAGAGGATGGTGGGAGAAGAGCAGAGAAGGGATGATAAGAGAGAGAGGTCCCTTAACAAACTCTAAAGTAACCGGCTATTTACTTTACTTGTTTCTTGATATAATGACTTCTATCAAGAAATAGGGGGGTTGTAAACTTAAAATAACAAGTCATAGAAGCCATGTTTCTTGATAGAAGGCCTTTCATCAAGAAATAGGGGGCTAAAGTAGAGGAAATATTGAGCTATACCTTACAAAATGCTCCTACGGTTTCACCATCACTTACACCTTCAACACTTTGTACATGACTCAAACGACCCAGAACTCAAGTACGAGTCAATATGACAACACCAACAAAGAGATGTCCAATAAGTAGGCCTAACCATGTCCCTCATTCCAATAGAGTATAAAATCACAAGATTCCTTTCATTTCGCAACACCCATTAAGCTGCAATTTATAACAAATTAATCAGTTCCTCCGTTCTCAATCATCTAATCATAATTACACAACACCAAACAAGCAAAGCAAACCACAAAGGATGCTTATTGACAATAATACACTTATCAATAAGCAGGGGGGCTAATGTAAGTACATGCAAACTCACTATCACCGGGACTACGGTGGGGATGTTAAAAGAAAAATGGAGAAATCCCAATCGAGACACCTTTGAATTGGCACAATGACACTTTATCAAAGTTATGTAAGGCCCACACACTTGTGATGAGCACAGAAAGCCATCCTACACTTGAGATGAGCATGAAGCGCTATCTGAGACCTACGATGAACATAAAACACTTCCCCGGACCTGCGATAAGAAATCAACGTCACTTGAGACTTGCGATGAACATAAAATGATATCGCAAGAGCCCAATGCACTATCAGCACTTTGCAATGAGCATGAAATGGCAACTCCTACTGTAATGAACGGAGGATAGACCTCGAGGCCAGTGACACCCACCTACGGGAGATTGGCATTCCTTCTGTTCACAACCAACTGTGACAAGGCGCCTTAGAGGCAATCGAGCAGAACACCCAAGCACATCAGTCAGATCCAGGTCTTGCCCTTGACACATGTCCACAGGGAAACCCGTAAGGGGGCATAGCCTACATATGTCATGCAAGAATCCTTAGGAAAAGGGAAACTCTGTCCTTAAAGGATCTCGTTGGACACGTGGCGAAATCCCAATGGTGCTTCCTTAATAGTCGACATAAAGATAAAGATCCCCTTTCCTAATAGGATAAGTCTCTTTTAGATCCTTCCTCTTATAGCCTTGGGGTCCTCTCTATAAAAAGGGGGAATAACACTCCCCCACGTCAGAGAATCGTATAACCTTGACCCTAGAGTTTCTTAGGGGACCTCTCTCTCTTATCATCCCTTCTCTGCTCTTCTCCCACCATCCTCTACAACCAGTATTTCTCCCCACGTTCTCTCTTTTCTGCCTCCTCTCTGGACCTTCGGAGACTTTGACTAACCTCCGTCACCTTACGACCACAACAACAATATGTATATATAATGCATATATATTTATATATAACATTTAGATAATATGTGACATATATCAAATATATATATAATATACATATACATATATATATACATACATACATACATACATACATATATATATATATATATCAGTCGGTTCAGTTAATCGTCGTTTTTTTCTAGGTTAACCAAAACAAATTGGTTCAGTTAACCTTCTTAACTTTAATCTTTTTAGTTTTGTTAAAAATAAGGAAAAAGTAAGAGATGCCAACCAGGCCATGTTCTCACGTTATTATAGGATGAAGTGTCCAATATTGATGTGGGCTGTTCTGATTTGTTAAGCAACCCCTAACACAGACTATCAAGTTTAGCTAATCCAGACTTAGAGAGGAGAGGGATGCAAGAAAAATAACCCTAGGCAACCACACCCTTAAATTGTTGACAGCACAAAATTCTTGTAGAGAAGCCCTCTTTGTTCGTCATCCTAAAATTCAGTCTCTAAGGCGCCTTACAAGCTAATAAGAAGAAGCTTCCTAAGGAAGAAACTTGTCCCACAAGTAAAATTTACAAAATAAGCTAAATTAGACTAAACCTGCTCCAAGCAACTAAACATACAGAATACTAAATAAAGGAAAAATTCTAGATTGAGACATGTTCCTAATCATAACTCTTAAGTATGAAAAATTACAAA